AATTTTGTTGCTCTAGATGTCAGACTTGTGCCACCAAAATGGATCCTAGACACTTTTGTTTAACTTCACTTTGTGATATTATATTATAGGAAATATGGCATAGAACAGGTACATAATCACTGTGGACCCTCAAATCCAAGTCATGCGCTACTCCACTGTGTCTGCTCTTTGCCATGGAGCTGAAATGTTGCTGCATGTTCTTGAACATGAAAGCATGGGTCAAAGATTTCCCTTTCCAACAATTTTCCCCACAGACACTTAGTGGGTTGTTTGAGCCAGGCTTGGCTTGTTTTTGTTCATGACTGTAATTAGGTCATTTTTCGGGCTTACATCTGTGATCAAAGCACTGATAGCTATTTTTTTTCAAATGGAGCCGTGTGATTGTGACCATACCCTTCTGAGGAGGTACTGCACTGGGGATCCATTTTACTTGCAGACTACAGGCCAGAGGAGACCACATCTCGACATAACACCGCCATAAAACTCCGCGATTAGGTCATGGCCACTTGTTTCACCACTAGCACTGTACATAATGCCATAAATGGGTCTGCTTTTGGGGCTTTCATCCACGTGTAAATCCTTTCCACCTCTTTGGAGACCAAATACAGTATTTTACTGTCTTTTTGAGACACAAAAAAAGCACCCCAACCACGCAGCAGCACCAGCCATAGACTCACCATGGTTACCATCAGTTTGAAGCAGCATTATCTTGCTAATTATGTGGCCACTTATCAACATCGTTTCACATAAGACGTTTATAAGACGTTGAATTGAGTGATTTTATTACAAGCTTAAGTAAAATAGGAGCTTCTGGGGAAGAGGAATTTCACACAACTGAAATCATCTGACATCAGCCTCATAATCTCTTTAAACACATTGAAATTATAGCAGCGTTTTTTTTTAAATAAGAAAATTTAAACAGTTACTTGGACACTAGATATAGTGGTAGTATCTACAGAGAGAAACTGGTGAAGATAAAGTAAAATGTTTACTCGAAGCCAAGGAGAAGACTGAAAGGGAAAAAATGGATGGTTAAACATACATGAAAATCTATGAATATGACAGAATGACACACATCTAACCTTTTGCATTATGCTAAAGCAGGATGGAGTTTAATTGCTTGAAAATAGACGACTGAAGCTGAAAGCATATGGCAAGCAAAAGTTAAAAACCAAAGACTGCCCAATAAACCAAATTAAATAGACGATTTGAATTTTCTGTCCAATTTTGGTAGTGAGATTATTTCCTTTCCTTAAAAATCTGCTCTCTAAGTAATCAGTTTTTAAAGCATGCTGTCGTTTTGGAATGGATAAAGGCTTTGTTCTGAAATAAGACAGGATATTGTAAAAACGGCACTGGAATCATGTTGCGTTCTTAGATAATTTATCAGCAATGTAATAAATGTCAGATGAGCAGGACCCCCCTTACTATAAAACACGCTTAACAAATAGCAGATCGCTGACCACGGCCTGTTACTGTCCTTTCTCAGAAATTTCTCATTAGGGACTGATTCACCGTTGCTGCTGACCTCGTATTCCATCACTGTGTAAAACGAGGGGAAGTTTGTTCACAGGATACCATTTTAGAAGCCGAGGATTTTGTTATGCATACACAGCAGCAAATAATGTGCTCATTACTGAAAACTGACAACAGTGTTGTTGTCACAAAGACATTCATGTTGATTAGAGCATCACAATTACACTGATCATGCTTTCATGTGGAGTGGCTGGTGTTGCTGTGGTTAGCGCAGTGGGACCCCGGCAGAGCTGCTGCTGGATGGATGTTTTAATGTTTTGTTAATTTGGGGTTTTCTACTCGACATCCTCCTTGGTGTTTTTCCCTTCTCATGCTCAAATTAGCAAGGCTTTCTGTGAGCCATGTGGCCTCTTTAAGGTCAATAGCCCAATCCTGAAGCAGGCTAAGCTATCTTTGTTAATCACTTTAAGCACCAACAGATCAGGAACGGAAGAAATCAGAGAATCTTTTGATCTAAGCTAAAGAAGAACACAATGCAATGCAGCATCCTCGCTGCACCAGAAGAGGAGAGTTGTTGGACAGCTAATGTGATTCATACATGTTTAAATGAAAAAGACAAAAAAGCTCAATGTTCTGTGTGACAGCCGCACAACTTATGAGACCTTAAGATTCTTCTTTGCACGTATATGTTCCTCTAATGCTGATATATGTGTTAAATACCTCTGTGGGGGTGGGGATGATCTGTTAATAAAATCCTAAGTGGACAAAAAACAGCTAGGCTTATTTAGAGAAAACTATAAACACAAAGGACACTCAAGGGACATATTAACGCAACTGCATAACAGGTCATTGTGCGTGTATTTTCTTTTACCATCTTTTTTTTCTTCCCTGTGCATGACAATAGTCTCCTTTAGAAGACACCATTAAGGTACCCCGAGCAAATTCACAACACACTTAATATTTATGATCCTGCTCCTTTGCAGCACTTTATGGATAAACAGTCATGGTCATCAGAATGTCAGCTGTCCTTTTCCCTGCTTCACTGAATCTGGTTCTGCTGGCATGTCTTGTTTATTCACCTTTTTCTTCGTGTGTATTCAGCTTGACTGTACATCGTTTGACAGAGATGTGCTTTGCTGTTCTGAGGTCTTTTTCAGTGGGCCATCTCTTCACTGTTCTGTAGCCTTAGATACCTTTATGTTTCAGGATGAATATGGCAATCATAACGTCATTAAATGAAAATAAATTGTGTGATTTCGATAACTCAACCAGTTTATCTACAGGATAAATACCAATGATGTACTATTTAAAGAAAAGAGCTGTGTTCATCAAAACAATGTTTTCAAAATAAAAATAATGCCCATACAAACCAAAATCCCTCCCTCAGTGAGCTGTTACTCCTCTGAATGCTCCACTCTTTTAGCTTACTGCTAAAGCATAAGCTTTATAGTCAAGCATGGTTTTGATGTAACCCAACCAGTTGCCTCAGGCACAACATTCATCTAATTGAGATTGCGTTGGCACTTCTGTGACAACAAATGACTTGACTTGTAAATCCCCAGACGCCGGTCACATGTTGCAAATGCGAACCTCAACAAGGACGGGACCACATGGATTGCCTCTCAGACTGAGCTCTGGTGCATTTGTGTGTTAGTGTTTTTACTGACTTGTTCATTAAAGGAATATTGTATTTGATTTGAGTATTTTTGCTCAAACACAGCATGTCTTGCTCTCTGGTCTGGATTAGTTTCTCTCCCCCTTTATATTTTCCACAGTGTGAGTTTTGAATGTCAGAAAGGGGTTGAAAAAAAAAAGAAAAAAGAAACGCTGTTGCATCAACCCCTTGCTGTTCTATAATTAAAAGGTCTCTGCACACAAGAGTGACATTAACAGTCATATGGATGCTGGTTTCTGTTCCAGAAGACCAGATCTGATTTCAGCGATTAAAATTAAAGATAAACCCATGAAAGGTTGCTGTAATTGCAGACTTTTCCTTTGTTTACTCTATTTAGAAATGTGCCAGTCACTTATTGTGACTTATTTTCTGAGCTATAAAGCAAATTATTTTTTTATACCTTAAAGTAGTTGTGTTATGAACATTTAACTGTTCAAAACTGCACTCTACACATTTAGATTTTCTCAGTAAAAGACCCCTCTTTATCCTTAACAACTTTTAAAATGCTGCAGTTTGAATTTAATTCAAACATTATTTATGGAACACTTAGACTCAAATAATGGTGACCTCATTGATGCACATCTTCGATAACAAGATAAAATTGAAAAAAAAATAACTGTGGAGTGCCTAGACATAGTATGGCAAAACACATTCAAAGACAAAAAGAAACATGATGATTTTGTTTTTTGTTTTTTTAAAATCTCATATCGTTTTAAAAGCTTATAAGGAGAGAAAGGTTTTCTAACAAGATGTGGTTGTGTCTTTAGAGGGAACAGACTTGTGTGAAAGCACAGCTATGTCATTTAAATACCAATTTTCTCACAATACATTTCTCCAAGTGCAGTAGCTGGTCAGAAGACACCCAGTGCTTAACACATGTAGAAATAAGTAAAAATAAGTGAGTTATGAAGGTGTTTTGGGGTCATGCTTGGCACAAGAAATCATTAGATTGAGATAATTCAGTTTAGTCTGTTATGACCCCCCCTTGCAAGAATCAAGCAACAGGGGAAATTGCAGCATAGGTGTGTAGCTCTCATTGGACATAATATAAGACCTTCATTATTTCTGTATGAAGCATCCTGAGACTGTCAAAGAGAAACTGTGATGTGAACATAATTTATCCATCGGATTGATGCACACACCTTTTACCACTTTATTTTTTAGTAATTCATACAGAGAAGTTGATGATTGCCTGTGAGTACTAGTTAGTATTCAGAGGCAATTATATAATGATTTCTGTGGCTCTGGAGGACCCCTTTCCAATGAGGAAATTACTCTGATGTCATAACAGTATGATGTATCACAGAAAGCCTGCATTACAAACTGGAGGCTGTAATAAAAATGCAGGCATTCATACTATAATGCTATTAACTCTTAAGGAAAGCTTGTCTCATTTGGTGAATGCATCATCCAGTGTTTTGATACCTCATGGGATATAATTGATTTTAACCACTTCTCCTGTAATCTGCCTCAAGCGGGTCCTCATGCACAATCCTTAAAGCTGATGTCAGGTAGGAAGTGTCAGATGTCACAACTGCCTTAAGCCAAACTATTGTTTTTTCGCCAGATATTATTATTGGAAGCTTGATTACAATTGGTGAGAAATGTAAAAAAAAAAAAGGAAATTCTTTATTGACCAACTCAGCACGTCAGGAGCTCCCTTACTCCTCATTTATTATTTTTCTCCTGCAGCCATGAAATGCTTCGTGCCTGCTCTTAACTGTCATATCTGTAAATAACTCATCAGGACTTAATTTTCGTTGCAAACCGGAGTTCAGTCCTCACAAGAATGAGCCATCAGTCATAAAATCAGGTTATTTTTGACGAGCCGTCCAGGAAGGCGGAGCAGATGGGCAGAGCGTGGTTAGGGGGCATAAATTGTCTGCTCCTTTTCATGTGTGATGCGTGTGCCCTTGGTTACCTAGTAACTCTTCTCTCCATCTCCAGTTGGCGCTCCCGAATATATTGACGCGGGACAGCGCGGCGCGCCCCCGCGAAGCTCGCGTTGAGCCCAGAGAAGAGTCAAGGCAAAAAGCGTCCAAACGCACCAGGACTGGAAAGGCGAGCTTCCCCGCCGGGGAAAAAAAAAGAGACTAAAACAAGGTGAAAGAAAAGCATGAATATGAAAGCAGAGAGAAGATCATGAAAGCCACTATCGCTGCGCAGGAAGGTCATTCCCGAAAAAGCCCAAAGCAGCGCTCAGACTGCACGGATGTTAGGAACAGGCTGCAAAGCCGACAGCAAGTGAAGACCCCGACACGGTCAAACATTGTCCCGGCTTTTTGTTTCCAGAAAAGCATGGGGGGATTTACACCTCGGCAAGGCAGGTGAGTCATTTGGTGATTTTAGCGATGAGCGACTAAAACAGAATGCGGGGGGGAAATGTGTCTCATCTCAATTCTATCACTTCAGTTTTTTTTTTCTCCTTTTTTTTTTTGTTGCCTGTAAAAGATTAAGAGTTTTCACATCGCGACGTAACATCGACGCAGCTCTGTATCCCCTCTCCGGAGCATCCTACGCTTTGGGGTTTGGGTGTCTGGACTTGGGGCAGATTAATTTGTTAGTGACTGGGATGCATCTTTTTGCCCACTCGGCACAGCTTGTGTAGCTCGTTACAACACACACCACACTGCAAACGTCAACGCGGTGGATTAATGCTTGTGAGAAAACGCTCCGGGCACTTGTTACTTGGGCATATAGACATCTCGTGCGCGTGGTGAGCGACGATTGCGCGAGCTCTACCATATTCGCTCCTTTTAAGAACAATTAGACAGATCAATGATTTGCTGTTGCTGAAGGAAACACGGGGAAACTACAAGGAGGGGGGGGGGGGGAATTGAAGGGAGAGCGATCAAATTTCAGGCTTGATATATTTTTTTTCTTAACGCAGCGAGCTTTACCTCCATCTGTGATGAAGAAAAGCTGGATAATCTGCCACAAGCAGATATGGGGATGCCCATTTCCGATTCTTTTAAAGTTTTTTTCCGCTCTACTCATTTCCTGTGAGATTTATGGATGAACGTTTTTTTTTTTGCAAATTGTAAATCTCCAACTCTGCACACACAAGATTCGGTGAGGCGACTCCTTTTAAAATGGATATTTCCTATTCAAAGGGATTGGGTAAACTATTTTATTCTCATATTAATTTGATGCATTATTTCCTCATCCTTTTATCAATTTGAATTCATTATCCTTGAATCCTGCTTTGTCCAGTTCAGATGAATTTCTGTATTTTGGGGATATTTTACATCATTACTGCCTCTAAATTATATTCGTTCCAAACAAGAGCGAATTGATTGCTGTAATGATCCAACAGGCCTCATATGTGTCTTCACTTTGACATTCCTGGACACATGGCACACTCTTAGAAATAAGTGGTCTCCTTGTGGTCAGTGGTAGAAAGAATAATTAACTGAGTTGAATTCCAAAGAGGGAAGAGGGAGTGAAAATGTCAAGCAAGAGTCGTCATGGTGATAAGTTGAATAAGCAATGTGTCCCTGAACCCTGAGCATTTGATTTGCCTGGCAGTGCTTGATTGATGAAAGGGGCTTTTAATTGATGATAATAATACACACAGACACACGCAAAATTCCTGGTTCTTGTTGCACCCATTTTAAAACCACAATGCGAAATTTGATTAGAACCGTTTACACTTTGTTTTGATTTCCAAGCAAATTGTGTTCATTCATATTGTATCTGGCTCCACAATATCATGTGAGAAATTATGCATGCTGCTTCTTGTTGCTTCTGCTTGTTAATTCTCTTTCTGGCCCCTCTCTGTTTTTATTCCAGTCCAACAAAGTGCTATTTTTCAACTTCCCTGCTGTTAAATATCTACTCTTTGCTCTTTCTCTGAAATTTTCTTGGATGTACTTGAGCTGCGTAACAATCACTGAGGCTTCATTTACAAAAAAAAAAAAAAAGAGAAAAAAGAGCTTTGAGTTTTGAGCTGTTGGAGAGGAATTACAGAGTGCTGCTCACTAAATGAATTTACTCATATTATACAGGACCGGTTGAGCCGGTAAGAGGTGGTCAGCATGCGATGACTGACAGGCACACAGAATAACACACAACACACTTATTTTTGAACACATATATTTGACTGTGCAGCGTTGAGTCTGTTGTTTACCCGTGTGAGTCTCGGGGCTGCTCAAGAAAAGCTCCATGAGACTCTCTGTCTGCTGCAAAGGTCAGAGAGGCTTCGTTTTGACCTAAAGTGTATACACCTGAGTATGTCATGGCCCGGCTCAACATGGATGAGCCACTCATTGGTCTCTGCCCGAGAGACCTCTTGTTCTTTAGCCTTCTTTTTTCTTTTTTTTTCGTCGGATGCTCTCGTTATTGCTCTCATATCCACCACATGAACGGAGGAGTGCAACTACGAGCGCTCCTCTGTGTGCACGCAGAAGAGCACTGGTGTATATATGAGGAAGGCTGTGGAAGGTTATTTGTGTTTTTCTAATATTCTTCATGATTTTTGATGTGTTGTCTTGAAGCAGCGGGGGCAGGGACTGAATAATTTCCCAAACGGTTACTTCTGACCTTCTGAAAATGTGTCCAATCACTGCCTTTTGCTCCAGCTGAAGAAAAAAGCCACTGTTGTTACAGCACTGTTTTCATAACGTATGAAGTCACAGGCATAAAAAGAAGGCAAACAACCAGCTTGGCTTTGTGTTCTGCTTTTTGATACTCACAGATTCTTACCATCTAGCCCAAATAACTCTTTGAAAATGTGCAAATACATAGATTCCTTTAAGAATCGTCCATCTTTATTACTCCTGAAAATTGGATAATTCGGAAGATCACGTATTTTTAACCAGGCCCCACAAAAAGAACGCTGAAAAGATATGAAGGAAGAAGGCTGAATCTTTCTAAACCATACCAAACTATATCTTGATGATGTGTCAGCTGTGGATGACGGTCGCTCAATAATCGTAGAAACACAATCACGATGGCATGGTTCAGTGCTGAGGTTCCATACATTTATTACAATTACCCACTGACTTTCCCAACAAAATGCACCACTTTTAAGAATTCTGCTATTTAATGTCCCTTGTTAGACTTCAAAATGCGCCCAAACAGCTGAATTGATTTTACTTTTCTTGTTGACCGAAGGCACTCTGCCTCATTTTGGTTCAGGCTGAACCCAACTGGCAGGGAGTCACTTTGGGCTTTCATTCAGGGATGAAAACAGACTGTTGAGAGGGAAAAGGGTGCGAAACATTTCCAACTCCTTCCAAAAAGCAAACGGACTGCAGCACAATAATAGTCTTATATCAATTATCTTGTTTTCATAATCATTCAAAACCATAATAGAAAATCATATTCAATTAATTGCACACGCACGTTAAGCGCTTCAGCTGCCCTTCACAGACATGGCTGCACTATGACTAATGAAGGAGGATCAACTTGTCTCTTCCTATTTACCCACGAGGATGAGATTTAATCATCAAATCACACCTTGTGTGACAGAACTGCTGAAGAATACAGCTTGATGATTGTCTAGTTACACACGAGTCATATTCATTTTAATAATAAATAAGACATATTTGTTAAATCTGTAGCAGTAAAGATTAACGAGTCTTTGTGTGACTAACAAAGTGATTTTGGCCCCAGGCACAAAGATGTGCTTCAAGTCTGCTGCACATAACATATTTAACAGAGATATTACATTGTTCATGGCCCAAAACATCTCCCATGACTAACAGGTTTCTCTGCCAAAGACCAATGTCTGCTTAGTAAACAAGATTCTTTTGGACATCACCATTCTAACTACAAAGCAGATGTCACACAGTATGTCTCCACTCACTAACTGCCAGAAGTTACTCACTCTATTAATTATTTATTAATTAGGCCATCCACACTCAATAACATGAGGATGAAGCCCACTGAGTTCAAATCAGAGACTTTTACTTTAGGCGGCGGCAGTGGGGAACTATTTTCCACAGATACCTTTTTCAAAGGATTCATTTTTATATAAAACACTTCAAGAATAATGTTGAGGGTGAGAGGAGGGCGGGCAGCTATAAAAGGGATAGAGACTGTTTCACCGAGGCAGTAACAGGCTTACATGTACTTAGTTTGGGATAGATTCAAGGTTTTCTTTATTCGGTTTAAACTTCGAGGCAAAAAATAAAAATCTCTCTGTTTGGAGCAAGAATCAATCATCCAAGTCAGCGAGTGCATGTTGGTTTACTATCCAGTAACTTCCCTTTAACAGCTGTTTCGCTTTCACTGTCACTGTCAAGTTATGTGTCATTTAACAAATACAGTTGTTTTGTCAGAGTTGGTTGTGTTTTGGCATCAGTTGTGCCAAGAAATAAATCAATTTTGAATCAATATAATGAGGTTTATCAGTTGGGGAAAATGTCTGGCTGTGATCAGTTGTTTATGCAACATTCTATTCGACTGCTCATGGTTAGGAGGGGAGCATAAGTAGTTTCTGGGCATGACTTCTAAGTAGCATGAAGTGCTTTGGGTGTGGGTGGAGATTGATGGTCCAACTTCACCTTTCTTTTAGTAGCAATTAGAAGACGAGAGGCTGGGTGGGAGCCAGTCTTGGACCTTTTTTCTTTTTTTTTCTCCTTTTTGTAGGCTCACCCACAATCAGCTCTCAGGACATCTGGAATGTTCATATCTGTTATATTTGTATCTGCAGTGTTGCATCTAGTTGTTCGATTCCTGTTAGATGTGTCAGTGGTAGAAATGTTTCTTATCTGTTGTTCAGACGAGCTGTGGAATTCTTCTTACCCATTTATTAGGAGTTTTTTTTTCTTACATTTGATCTATGCCACTTACTGTGGCATAGATCATTCAAAGTGCTGCCAATGCCACTCCTGAAAGCTAATTCCTCAGGTCCTTAAACTACTCAAATGTTCTGCATTGAGCGAATAACAATAGTGTGACAACAGGCATAGCTTTAGAGTAATTTCCTCAAGCTTACGCGCAGAGGATACCTCCTTGCTGGCAATTGAATGTGATGTTTTCTGTGTGTTCAGGCCCCGTTTTTGTAACTAGATGCTGACAATACAATATGTACCAATGAGGAATCATGAATGATGGTTCCTGCAAATAATGCACACGCAATAAAAAGGTAAATGTAAAAAAAAATGCTTTAAACACACCACTGGGCACATGTCAGCCTTTTACTTTTGAAACTGCACAGCGTCACCCTCACTTCCACGTTGTTCCTGACATGATGTTATGCGGCATCAAAGGAGGGAGACTGGGCTCGTGCACAGATTACGAGGAGCAAGTGTGATCTAAATATCATCATGCCACTCAGCAGCTCACCTTTGAGATATCTGTCAAAAAGTGTTACAGGTGG